GGATAGTCGGAGTGTGGATAATTGGAGTTGTACTGTACTTGGATACTTAAAGAGTTATCATACTCCAAGAAGCTTCATAAGTAGCATAATACTTTAAGTCAGGTAGTGACTTTTATATTTTTCTGTGACAAAATTATTTGTATTGTTGTATAGGGTAATCGTATGTATGTTTTATATTGGTCACAATATGAATGATCTCAGTGTAGTATCTTGTAGTATTTTTTTTAACAAAGAATAAATAATCACCTCATTTTCTGTGATAAGTAAAAAGGATGGAAAACTTACAATCTGATATCTTTTAAATAATATGGCTTTCACAGTGATAATGTAATATATGATTTACAGACCATAAAAAATGCAATAAAAGCAGATGATGAAAGAGAAATAATTATTTTATTACTTGGTTGCTTATGAGATTTAGATATGTAGTATAAAATATTTATTGCATAGAAATAACTAAATTTAAAATTAAATGCTCATGTGCAAAACTAAAAGAATTTTCATGTGATGTTGAATTTCTGCAGGGTCGTAGCTAGAGTTCCCAGTGCCCGGGGACAACCGAAGAACTTGCACCCCTTTCTGTGTGCCAAGAATGGAAAACATTTCATTAATAAAATTCGTAGCATCAATTTGGCACCCCTTGGATGCTGCGCAAGGTGACAGATGTCCCCCTTTGCCCCACCCTAGCTACGCCACTGAATTTCTGAATAACTATTGGGCAGATTTTAAGGAAATTGAATAGGAATATGCTCTTAAAATAATAGAAAGAGATATAATATTCAAATGTCATTTTATGTTTTCATGATTATCAGTAAACCTCATAGTGCAGGAATGTCCAAAATTCACATTGTGATGCCAAACTGAAAATGCATCTAATAAGGAGTACAGTCCCTTCTCACAGCCAGACTTTTCATGCAGCGTGACAGCATACTGTACAGGAGGCAGGTAAAGAGTCCCCTGTGGCAGTCGATTCCACTTATGCAGCATATGGCTGACCAGTCCATGCAGCGATTAGCCCTACTTTTCTAGGTAACCGTCAGCCAGCTGAGCCCTTACATGGACGAGTGTTGTCGTCCAATAACAAAAAACAACTGTGTCCCTGAAAAGTCAAACATAGGGCTCTATGATATCTTTTTTATACCTTAGCAGTCAGAGAGCCATCATCAAACACATGCAAGAGGGTGTGGCGTCCAACATAATGCCTGCCCAAACCATTACACCTCTTCCACAGTGATGATTCTTTTCTTTAACCCTCTGACGCGCACGATATTATTTTTATAATTTTTTAACTAAAATCTCTAGAAATTGAATATTATGATCCTAGAGACAAATAATATATGAATTTAAAAAAATCTACTCTTGCCCATTGTTCTGTGGGTGGTGGTCACACTGTGAAACCACCGCACGTCTAGGACTTTGAAACTTACCTAGGTAGTAGGGGGAAAAAACTTACCTTTCTCCATGCGCGTTTCCAATAAATGATGAAATTTACGAATTTTTAAAAAATGTATGTAGGAATTGCATAATATAGAATTTTTTTACATTATTTTACAAAATAAATCGTCAGGAAAAATTAAAAAATAAACATTTATGTAATTTTTCTATAGCAGTGAAAATATAAGTACCTACATAATAAATTTGGCTAAATGGATTAAAAAACTCAGTAAAATATGGATAAAAAAAAAGACTCAGTGTTTTTTTTTAACTTCAAAGAACAAATATTTTTTGTGACACTGTTCAAAGCATGTTTTCTCTTTTTCGTACATGCATAGACTCACATTGCACGTTTTGCACATGTATCTTCTGTGAGGTTTCTTCCTTGTGCAACAAAATGTACACTGCCTGTATCTAAATTTCACTGGTTTATGCCCAGAGTTATTTAGTTTCTTTTCATCTGGCACATGAAATTTGTGGTTTTTTGATGTTAATGGAGGGGGCTTGGTCTTTTTGGCTTTGGTACAGATCATTCATTTTCCTTTCATACTTATTTTATTCGTATTTCGTCCGAAAATATTGAGAGAATATTTTTAATTTAAGTAAAAGTTTACGCAATTTCTATTTTTAATTATAGCAAAGTATATTTACATTAAATTTAAACCACATGAAATAATTTATAAAATCACAATACTAAAATTTGAGGAGCAAGTGTGTTGAGGTCAGAAAAGTCTCTGGAAAACAAAGACCTTTTTACTGGGCAGGTGCATGTATTGTTTAGTAATAAAATAACTCTGTGGTTTCAAAACCCCTTATCTATATCTGGGTAAAAATAAACATTCCAATTTGAGAAGCAAACGCCATTGTGAAGAGCAGTGGTTTAAAGGCGCGACCACCAAACCTCTAGTGGTGCAGTGGTCACGCCCTGAAACCACAAAGTAAATGCCATACATATAGAGGGTTTTCTTTATGTAGTCAGTTTAATTATTGCTATTTTTTATTTTTATGATAGAAATCATGATGTGCGATGAATAACGTTTGAAATTTAAAGTTGTTTATATTAATAAAAGGAAGTTATTTTGTCTCATTGAAAACGAACTTTAAAAGGCATCCGATTTGAAGTACTAAGACCTAAAACACGTATGATTCTGCAGTCATTTTGTGTTATTTAGAGGTAAAAGATCAGTAATCAATTGATTTTCACTCAAAAATTTCGGAAGGAAGAGGAGAAAAAAATTCGAAAATTGGTGGTTTCAAGGCGTGACCACCGCACGTCAAAGGGTTAATGAAAGAGGGATGTTATATTATGTTTCAAGCTCTTTCTAAATGTAGGTATGCCAAGAATGAGCATCCAGGCTTAATCTGGACTCATCTGTAAAAAGCATGGTGCTAAAGTCTGATCCAAGGTGCATGTTGTTTGCACCATGTTAAATGCATTTTCTTGTGTGCTGCAATGAGCAGGACATAAACAGGGCATCTTCTGGCATGCTGCCCTATCTCATGCAGCCTTCAGGCAACTATAGAATTTGAGCACTTAGACTCTGTGGCAAGCTGCACTTGTGATTGACCTTTCTCCCATCTATCAACAATTCTGCATCTCATTCCATCATCTATATGTTTGTGGCTACTCATTTTACCTTTATAAAATCGACCCAACTATTGCTAGAAACATGGCGTCATGAAGGAGTATGAACATACAAATCGCTGAAAACCCCTCTTGTGCTTATGTCTCCTTTGCAGTCACAACTCCACAGAGATGCACATGTATACTTACATATTCGACTTATTTGCATAATTCTTTTTTGGCATAATTAATACCTTTGGTTCAATACTTTTCATAAAATTGAACATAATTTGCAAATTCTGTTAATTTTTCACACAATTGTACGTTCTGTATAAGAAATCCTTTTTTTCCCCCATGATTTAAATCTGTGTAATTGCTGAAGGAAAATTTGCAGGGTTGCCATGCTACCTGGAAAACTGGAAGAAGTCGTGTAATTAGAAAATTAACAAAAAAATTCAGGGAAAAGTCGGGGAATTAAAATATTTTAGTCAAAATCTGGAAAAGTCAGGGAATTTCATATGGTGATTCCCCCCAAAAAGCGAACTTTGCACTGACGTTGGAAGCGATCAATTTCTTGGCGAATTATGTATAGCGTGAGCGTCATTCAGGCAGTTGACATAGAGCTGTTTGCAGCTCCAAGTAGATTGTCTTTTAAAAAGGCAAAGCAAGTTTCCAGCAACTTTGGTTTCCAGTAACCTTAAAAATCGAGAGACTCATATACACATGTGCAGTACATGTTAAACTAAAGAAAATATGTATACTTGTATAAAACAAAATCAGTTTAATCCTAGTATACAGTAGTATGGAGGTTAGAATAGCCTCTATGTATTCTATTCTAACCTCCATGTACATCACACACAGTATTTGGCGACATTATGGTGAGCAGTAAACAGATCATTTTGGTGTTGGTGACAGTTTTCAAAGTCGTGCCAAGGCCTTAGCGTATAGGAGGATTTTACTCCAAAATCTTTTAAACCTTTTTTTTATTCCCTTTAATAAATACCTTATTTTTCATTTTGCAGTAAAATAAAAAAAATAGTAATCAGTCATCTAGGCTAATCATTTAGTATAATTAACTATATTTGCTTAAGTGTCGTTGATTATTCTATAATAATTCAAATTTTAAGTAATTATCTTTATTTTTATGTTATTCATATCATTTAATGTGTCTTCTCTCTAAATTGATTTATTATTAGTAAATAATACTTTCAAATTTCAGGAATTTTCTCTGCCATAATCCTAAAACTAATTCTAGCAGTATGGTGACATACCATAACGAAATTTAGCGCACTTTTTTGTTTATATACACTGCTAAGTAAATATAAAATACCTGAATTTATTTAAAAATATCATTAAATAGATTTCTTTCTTTTGTTTAGCTGCAAAATATCTCAAAAAAGACATTTTTTAATCCAGATTGGGCAGATTCTAATCTCAATCTTCAGTAGAGAAAGCAACTGCTATTACAGTTATAGTAGTAATGCTTTGAAATTATATATATGTCATATGTAATTGGCAAATTTTTGTGTTTTCAAGTGGATCATAATTAATTTACCTCTTAGCACAGCCAACATATATCACGTGGATAGACTGGAGTTTTCTTAAAACGCACCTTGAAACCTGGAAAAGTCATAAAATTTAATTCTCCTGTTTGAGTGGCAACCCTGAATTTGACATTCTGCATTTATTTCATTGCAGTGAGGAAAAACACTAGGATTTAATACTTTTTTTTTCAATTATACCATTAAGATGAATTTTTTTAAATTTTTTATATGCCATGCCATAAATGTGTGTAGTCAGTTTAATTTTTGTAGACTATTTTTTACCTATACAATGCATTAAAAATTATAGGTTTTTAAAATTTTATTTGAATATTTTTGCTTTGTGTCCTTTATTTGTGACTCTCTTAGGGAAATACTAATATTTGGTGTTACAACTGGTATTTCATTTATCTTTTAAGTATTTGTTTTATATAAGCATCTTTTTTCTTTATTCGTTCTAGACTTTGTATCTTCAGAAATTGATTATCTACTTTTAAGTGGGGCTCCTTTTATGGATCCAAAATTTTACCCATCAGTTTTAAATTTGGCTAACGCAAAGTGGACACAGGAAGATCGTAATATGAGTCAATTTATGATGGAAGCTTGGGCTAATTTTGCTAAAGAGGGGTATGGTTTTGTAATTTATTTTATATTGTTAAATTATCATTTCATTTAATTTAAGCATATGATATGTATAAATATTAAATAAACTGAACTTTAAATATACAGAAAGTTAAAATACAGTATTTTGGTGTATATGGATTTAATTTATAGAATTAAGAATTGTGATAAGTTAATAGTTGCTTTTCTTTTTAAGATACAGCTGTTACTGAATTCTCTCAGACTCTGCCTTTCGTATACTTAACTTTCTTTTTCCCTTGTTTTTTCTCATTTAAATAATATATTTAAATTGCCATGAATTTTTAGCTAAATTTTTAATAAAATGCATAGTTTCATTTTCTATATTTCTGACTTTCCAGCTGTACTTATCAATAAATAAGTAATGAAAACCAAAGTATTAGTTAAAATATTAGTAACTTGAGTGAAAATTCCTCCCCTAGCATAGTGTGCTAGTGTGTAAAATTTAAGAATGAAGTGGAAAAATAGCATAAAAGCAGAATGAGACAACAGACCAGACTGAAAAAAACAATCAGGAGATAGATTTGGAATTATTACAATGTAGAGATATTAGGTTGATTGAAAAAGGCCGGAGAGATAAAAAATTAGCAACCGTCTTCGCTGGGAGTTGAACCACGTACCTCTGGAATACTGGCCCAGCGTGCAGAACCACTACAACACGAAGGCACGCTAGGAAAGTGGGAGAAATGCCTTATATACTCCCCCTTTTAAATGTCGATTGGTGTTTTTAGGGGACCCAATCATCAAATCCTGGGTGTGGCGAATTCTCATCCAACACCCTTTTAGTTTGGGTGCCACTGTAGAGACATTAGGATTTTTCTTGAAAGAACCAAGACATGAAAAATTAGCAACCACCTTCGCCGGGAATCGAACCACGGACCTCTGGAATACCGGCCCAGCGTGCAGAATCATTACACCATGAAGGCATGCTAAGAAAGCGGGAGAAATACCTTGTAACAGTAAGGCATGCACATATATGGCATATCACTTAGATGTCGGAATGTCACACGAGCGATGTATGCTCAGAAATGTGGTGGGAGCTATTGCACAATGTATTATCATGTCAGTGATGTTGAGGTATTATTACCATGCAGTATGGTTAACAGATAATCCAGGAGACATCATCACAATTACTTGCATCATTGGGAATTTGGAAGAAGTTCTCAGTGTGTTAAGTGTAGGAGAGGAGTTCAGGATCGCTCATAGCATCATTTCATGAGCCTGGAGAGCATTTTAAATCACAAGAACAACTGTTTGAATGTTTTGCAATAATCATCCATGAGCAATAAAGTGGTGGCCAACCAGCATATTGTCATGCTGGCGAGAAGAGGCAGGTGGCAGAGAGCAGGAGATATTACAAGACTCCTAAACATATATGACTTTTTAACATGGCCAGGAGGCTACACAAACATAGTGTATGTGCATGACGAGCAGTATGATGTGTGCTATTAACACCTGCTCACTGTAGACACCAGTTTTTGTGGTACTGGGAAACAAAAACTGAATGCAATAGCAGTGACGTCAACTATTCTTTACGGGTGAGAGCCAGTTTAGTCTGACGAGCACTTCTGGACATCACCACATCTGAGAGAGAAAGAGCTCTTCAATTGCCACTCTAACATCATAAAAAAAGACCATTGTGGAGATACTGGAATTCTCATTTGGGGTGGTATCATGCTTTGTAGCTGTACTATGTCCACATCTCATAAGGTGGTTCAATCGCTAGTGTCTGCTAATACACTGAGGTATACTGCCTCATGTGCATATGTTTACAGGTGCTGTGGGTCTGCACTACATCTTCATGGATGACATTGCTGCACTTCATTGTGCAGTCACTGTCATACAACTTTTACAAATGAAGATATTCAACACATCGATTGACTTGCTAGGTTCCCAGATCTAGGATCTTCTCAGGAGACATTTGTCAGCATGTGACCAGCCACCAGCAGTGATTCTGCAGCTGAAATTGGCACTACAAGAAAAATGGTCTACAGTGCTTCAACATCTTGTTAACCATGTCCTTAACATGGACATACATTGTAATTTTTGCATTGCTCTCAGGAGTGATCATATCTCCTTCTGAAGACTACTCTTGCCAGGTACCTGTCAAATGGATGTTTCTGTCTTCTGTTCCATTCTACTCAGAGCAATTGTTTTAGTAAAATACTTTTTTATTCTTTCTTTAGATGATTTTGTTCACTTTTCCCATTTTTTCACATCCTGAGGACCATATGTATGTTTTGGGTTATTGTGGAACACTTCTGCATAGCATTATATTCAAAAATCCCTCTTGTCCTTAAATTTTGTACACCAGTGTGTCAGTATGAAAAGAATAAATGGAAAAATTGAATTAATTATGTCCTAAGATGTTAATCACCCTTTTTGTCATTTATTAACACTTTACCGACCGTCACCTAGTAATCTTTTTTTGTTTGTTTGTTTGTTTGTTTTCGCTTACCGATCGATCGCCTATTAATCAGCTTTTGTTCGCCAATGCCTACCGACTGATAGCCTATTAATCGCTTATTTCTCGGGGCTACCTAAAAATAGCCTATCAGTCGGTAGCCGTGGCGATAAACAATTGCCATCTGCACTTTATTATTAGGGAGAATCTGCGGCTGAGCGACCGGTCAGACGTGCGTATGCTGTTGAACCACTAGCGGTCGGTAAAGTGATTGAAATTCCATATAAACAAATAATAATAGCTAATTCAAATTTTTAAATTGAAGCAGAAAACAAAAATATGTATGGAATATCACAAGTAGTTGATTTTGGAAAATTAAATCAAAATTGTCATTTTTCTTAATGAATGTTCAGTGTAGAGCCAATGTTTTGGTTCAACTTGGTGTTTTTTTAATCTTATAATCCAGAAAGAAAGAAACTGTTTTTGTGTGGATGTTTTGTTTTTTCTGGAACGAGGAGCATTGAAATACTATACAAAATTTTATATACAAATAAGTTCAAACTTGTCAAAGAGATAATATTCTGTAGATGTATTCCTGCTTCTTAGTACAGCTACACCATAAATTTAGTTACTGGTTAAGTGCATACACACATTTATTGTGCAATTGCCATTTTTTTGTTCAAGCTGTAATTAATTCACAGGTAGTCTACTTCTATGCAGTCCAAACCCACCCAATAAAGCTAGACGTATTTCCGCTTTAAAGGGGTTGCTAGACATTAGAATCAATAAGTAAACAGTATATTTGTAAAACAATGTATTTCCATGAATTCATAGATGAAAGATTTTGAATGAATCGGTATTAACAGAGTTTTTAAAAATGTTTTGTCTATATTAAAAATAACGGTTTTTAATTTTTTTGCCTGTATTAAAGATAATATGGTTTATTTAAATTATAAATGTCACATAAATTTTTTTATTATCATCTCTGAATTTATGTTATCTCAGTGTTAAATGTTTCTTGCTTTTAGTAGCATGTATAGTTTTATAATTAGTTTCTCAGCTTGTTTCTTCTGCGACAGGAGATACAAATTTTATGCAGTTTGAAATTTTATTATGGTGTTATGCTTCTTTAAAATAATCACAGCTGTCTAACAAATTAAATTTTTTGAACTTGTAGTCCTGGAGAATTTATAACTATTTTAGTCGCATCTGTAATATATTTCTATTAGCATGTTACACATGTTTGTTTGTTTTTAATGTTTTTTTAAAATCATTTATATGTAAATTCAGAAGTACGAAAGTTTCTTTTTCTTCCCCCCCCCTTTTTTGGGAGAGATTTCTGCAAATTTGTTAGCAAAAAAAACTGAGTGCTTTTGGTTGGAGTTTGAACCTGATAAATATATAAAGGAAATTCTGAAAGCTGTAAACAGATGATAATCTGAGATCATCACCAAAATATCAAGCTTTTTCAGTATCCCAGGCTTTTATAAATATCATTGAAAACATAATGACAGTAGTGTTTAATGTTTCTTTAACCTCACATGTTGTCAGATGGCAGTTGCTTTTAACCATTTGAGTCCCAGGGAGTATTGAAAAAACACTGTCGAAGAATCCCAAACAGCGCAACTGCACTTTCTCTAAATGAGTATGAAAAGACCCAAGCAGCTCGATAGCATTTGTTTTATTTTATGTCAAGAAATACCAAGCAGCACTACAGCACTCGTTTTATTCTATGTCGAGAGATACCAAGCGGCGCGATACTTCTTGTATTTGTTAGGTACCGCAATTCTCGTCTTTTTCTCATTGCTCCAGCACATTTATTGCAGTTTGCAAAGCGACTTCAACAATCGGTGATGCACCATCAAGTTATCCACATGTTAAAATGTACTGGGTTTTCTTGACATAAAATCTCAACAGCGCGATCACGCTGCTTGGTACTCAAACGGCTTATCATAATTTTCATTTAATTTGTTCATAGTGACAAGCCGTTTAGCATGAAATGCATCATTGGATCACTGAATCTCAGAAAGCGTTTTGCATGTTGAATAATAACTTTATATATGGCTCAGATTTTTTCTCCAGTTAATGAAGCTTTATTTTCAATTGTAAAAAAGCAAAATATGATAAAATTCTTAGTTGCTGGCATGTTTAACCTTGTTTTAGAAAACTCTTAAGGTTCACTGAATGCAATAATATTTTATCCAAATGGCAGTTGACATCCTGATTTTTAATTGAAAATATATATCTGCTTGCACAAAGTTTGAAAGAGCTTTGAGCAGAAAAATGGGACAAATATTTTTTTTTATATTTATATTTTAAATCTAATATTTCATATTAATTGATTGAATATATTTTACTAAATATGAATTTATGATATTCATTTTTAAAATCCTTTAGTTGTTATCATGAATAAAGTGTTCAGTAAAATAGATGGATATTTAATAAATAAACTTCAGAAACTTGGCGTTTTGAATTTGTTTTTATTTACAATAGAATTTCTAAATGTTCAATGTGTATATAGATATATGTAAGATAAAAAATATATGCAACAAATTTTTAATTTTAATATGCAGTAATCCCTTAATGCTCCATTTTAATATGGCTATTTCCTCCTTCTATCTTAAAAATGGTAATTGCTTATAATAAAGCTTTAAGCTGCATCATTTCCAAATTAATCCATGTCATTATGGTCTTGCATAATCTTACTTTTGCAGACACTTACATAAATGCTCTAGCAAATAAAATTTCATTCAGAACTGAAACCTGTTATTAATAGCCAATCCAGATAAAGCAAACCGAGAACATTTTAAGGAGCCATTACTTTTCTTCACTTCCAGGTTTTCTTTTGAATGATTCAAACATTCAAGCATTGCTTCTAGTTAACATGTCACTGCTCACCTCTCTTTTTCATTCATTGTATTTGTCGCAGATGTAGAAAAAGTGCAAAATATGATGAAGACTAAGTGCAGATTGGAACGAGTATGGTATGTGTTTCATAATCAAGATGTGTTTCTCAAGGATTTCATTTTTCAGAAATACCAACATATTAACTCAGTATGACAGTTAACTTTTGATTACAGTTCATGCAGTTCTGCATCTCAGTGCCATCACCATCTGCAACCTCAGTCATGATTGAAATTATCTGTATCTTCTCAATCTAAATCACTGCATTTTATATGTGGGTGTGTGCAATTATATATATATATATATATATATATATTTATGGTATATATTTGATTTTGATGTACATGATAACTCTTTGATTATTATAATTTCAGAAAATTTCTAAGGCATCTTTAATTGCAATTTTAGGAATCCCACTAAAACCCGTCTTTTCAATACGATTTTGTGGGAACCAGTGACAGAAAACAATTATATCTGCCTCAATTTGAATGCAACCAATACAACTAGCACTATGATCGCTGACTACAGAGAAAGAGAAAGTCGTTTTTGGAATTCTTTTCTGCCTTTCTTTATTGATCGTGAACCACCAACATTAGCACCTACCTTGGAACCCGGTGTTGCTGAACTAAGAATTGTCACAAGTGCTTTATGGGGCAGTGTTGCCCTTGCAACAATCTTAATTATCATCACGCTAATCTGCTGCACATTGTATTGCAGAATAAGAAGGTATGATTCATATTGATTCAGCATTTTACGAAAAGTATTTACACACATTTATGTAGAGATGACTAATGTGACAGAATAATATTTTTAAACTATCATTCTACATCTGGTATGTATCATTTCAATGTTTCTCTTCAATATGGTTATTTTTCTAATTCCCATTTATTAAAAAGGAAATAAAATTTTAATAGTAATGGAGGTTTAGCTCTCTTGGCATTCTCTCTTCATATTTACTTGAATGCAGTATTTAGAAGGTGCCCTGTTTTTTAGTTTTTAAAATGATGCACTGTACAAAGTTACTTCATTAAGATTAAAAGATTTTTCAACTATGGATTTCTCAGGAAAATATAATACAGTCAAAAGTCGTTAATCCGGACTCGTCGGGACTTCGGCGATTCCGGATTATCGATTTTTCCAGATTATAGATCATCAGTTTAAATCTCGTAAGATGGCATGCAGAAATTCTAAAATTAAAAATATGAAACCATAATTTATGAAATAAAGAACGATTATGATTTAAAGGGTATCAAAATTTACGAAAAAAAAAAAAAAGCTTAATATTTATTTGTTTACTTTATAAAACATTTCTTTCAATGTAAGTTGTTTAAGTTGCTTCGTTTTATGTGATAATACTTACTCTTTAATTCTATAAACAGACATAATTTCTTGTTCAGTTACAAAGTTCCGCTGTTCAAGTCCCGTAATTGCTGTGCCGAGAATACCGACTAACTTGTCAATCGAAATTTTTTCGTTTTCACTAACCTCTCTGTCACTTTCTTTATGTCTTTATCCATTTTTTGCAGCAATTCCACTTTTTGTTTGATGGACATCGAAACATACTTTCGTTTTGTAGATCCTTTGGGAGCTCCAGCATCGGAAATTCTATTTGACATAATCGAAAGTTCAAGTTTACTTTTATAAAATTGCTTTTACAGTCTGAAAAAAGTAATAAGCAGGATCCAGTTCGAAGATTAAGGAACAACGCAATCACCAACATTAACTGAAATAGATAATTAGATAATTTTAGCTTATACCGTCCGTTATACATAAAATGCACACGCGAAAACATATTCTGCGCTTGCGCACACGCATATGCGCAGTCGTAAAGATCTTACGCTCACGTATAAATGCCTATGCACATGTGTCAACGCGGCGTATGCGCAGAAAGTTTTTAGCTTTGAGGTCCGGATTATGGGTGTCCGAATTAACGACTTTTGACTGTATTACAATAATTATTGAATCAAATTCACTCGGAAATTAAGCATATTAAATAAATATGAAAATTATTATATATTTTTTAGTTCTTATTTTTAAATTAAATTGTTAGTATAAAATAGTAAATTTCACTGTCTTTTGCATTTATAATGCATTAAGGATAATTGAAGAAAGCATGATGTACCATGTATTCCATTTCTTTTTTATGTAGAAAATTTACATTCATTTATGAATTATTTAAAATATATTGATTCAGGGTTTAAAAAATAATCATAGTGATTTCATTATATAATTTGATTGCTTTAGTATGCTTTGTCAAAACCCAATAAACAGTTTTTCCATTGTGACCTGATGGCTGCATGAGCGTTTTCGTGGATTTCTCCATGCGTACGAGCCAGTTCCCCTTAGAAAGTCCTCCACGAAGGCATCCCTCCCTTTTGGCAGATAGCCCTCATGTGCTTTGCCATAATTAAATAATCCAATCCAATCCAATCCTTTGTGACCTGATGTGCAAAACCAGTGTATGTATGTAAGTACAGTAATTATGTGTTATGAACTTAATAAATGCTTTTATTTGTTTTTGTAGAATAATAATACTATTTAGTGCATTCTAGATTAACAAAAAAGGTTATAAATTATGATAGTTTATTGACATAAATATTGATAGGTTGTAATAGATTTTCTCTGTTCTGCAGAATTTAATTAATTCTTGGCTTCTGCCATTTGTGGCAATTTATGTATATAATAAGACCCAGTTTAAGGAGAGTGCCAGCATCATACATGCACTATATGTTTACCTTAGCTAATATTCAGAAGTGCTTACTTTCAGAACACTCAGACTAGGTTCTCACTCATAGCTAGCTGATGCTAGTCATAGATATATGTAGTGAGATAGCTATGATCATGCCATCCATTCTTTTAAAAAATTTTTATTTTATTTCCTTGGAGACAATAAATTTTTTTACTGCATTATAGATTCATATTATGGATCATTTTAGAATCTATTAGTGTTAAAATATTAAGTACTGTCATTACATTAATTTAACAGCCAAGAACATTATGATATTTTGAGTTTTGGTTATATTTTTTGCTGGCACTTGTAAGGAATACAATTTTATACTATTTTATAAATGTAAAAATTTACATTTATAAAATTTATGTATTTAGAGATTTAAAATAAAACTCCATAATTGTACTTAAAATTATTTGAAAATATTTTTGAAATAAACAGTGATTATTTTATAGTTAAATATGTTAATTTTCTGTATTCTTATACATAGTTTCTTGAACAAACAGATTTCAGGCTACAAATTCATTTTCTTTGAAAATTTTAAATGTGTATTGGGAAAATTGGTTTCGTTTGGTTTACTTGATTAAGGAAAAGCACTCGAGGGCTATCTGCATAAGGGGAGGAATGTCTTCTTGGAGGACTTTCTAACAGTAATAGGAAGAAAAACTTATTATAATGAAATATAAAGTATGTGTACTGCAATAGAATATTGCTGTTTTGTGTCAGCTTCAATCAGCAGCAGCTTAATATTCATAAATCTGCAGCTTATTCTCCCCTCCCCCCTTGATTTCCCTTCTATGGAATTTTTTTTTTTTTTTTTTTTTTTTTTTTTTTATTACAGCAGTATTTTATTTTAGTGTTTCTGTTTCTCTACTGGCCTTGTTAATATCTGAAAACACTGCTATGATATTTCAAACATGCTAGATATTTACAAAAAATATTAAACTTTACACAGTTAACCATTGTTAAGTTTATAATAAAATTTAATATAACAGAATTATTTGCATCGTATATGCAATCACATTGCACTGCTTATTTTCTAAAACTTGATCAAGAGAATACAGATTTTTCTAAATTCTTTCTTTCATACTTTTTGTGCTAAGTATAACTATCCCAACATATTCTATATCTTTCAGAATTACTAGATGTAGAATCATAGCTCAAAAAATTATTTTTGTCTGAAATTTGTAAGAGTGAAATATCGATTTCTGTATTTTTTTTTAATGATTCCAAGAGTATTATTTTGAAGTGTTAAAACTAGTCATAATTTTTTTTAAAAAAAAGGGAAATGAGATTCATTGTGAATAGTTACTTACCAAGTTATTATTTAATATCAATAAATTTATGTTTTACTGTACATAGCAATTTTGGTATTTTTGTATGGGAAGATAACTTATTCCTTAAGAAGATAAAATAGTTCCTTTTGATGTTAGTTCGATGTATGAATTAAGATTTAAAATCTCAATTTATTGCTCATTGTAGAAGGTTTTACTCTGCTTTGACCTCAGTGTTTGAATTTTAATAAGATTTAAAATGCAACATCTGAAGACTTTAAAATGTTTCTTGCGTATAAATGTAATACATTATTATTTAAAAAAAATTTTATTAACTAATTCTTTTAATTCCCTTTCGGATTAATTGAAGCAAATTAGTAGAATATTATTCTTATTGATATTTAAATGTGATTTATATGTTTCATTTATCACATTTTAAGTTGTAATTTGTTTACAGATTTGGTTTGTATTAAAAAACTGTACTTAAATGTCATTTGCACTTGTCTGATGTATATGCTTTTCTCTCTATATATATATGTATGCACTGTGCCAAACATGTACTTATTTGCATGGAACTACACATTTTTATACTAATTTTAAAATATTCCATCCTAACAGTTTTAGGTCACAAAACTGAAATAAATAATGCAATCTTATTTAGATTTAACTGCACGTTTTATTTATACTTTAAGAATTTTGAAGAATAATTGAAAAGCAGTTTTATTCATAATTCAAAGCATTTTATATTCATATATATAACTTACATTTCATCCTAACAGTTTCAGGTCACAAAACTGCAATGATTCGTTAGTCTGTAATTTCTTAAGCCATGCATGTTTAAATTTTATAATCATGAAACAAATGTTTAAAAAGACTGTACAAAGAATTTATATTTACGGTTAAAAGGATAAGAAGAATTTTGTGATATAATATCGTTCACTATGGGCTTTAAAGATCATTATAGTTATGTTATCTGATGAGCTAAGTGTGTGTTATGTATTTCATGTGTTTGGATTTTCATGTCAAAGAGTAATGATAAGCTTTGTTTTGCAGCTACTTAGATAGTATTTAGATGTCAGAAAATTTAGGTAGTTTTCATTAATTATTCTGCTATAATTTCAGCTTTATCCTGTATTGTTTATGATGGTTATATAGTATTCTGCTGCATGTTTATAGTAGACTATTTTAATTTTATTCTCTTTTTTAATACTTTAATTTCTTTGCTTTTTGTTCTTTCATTAAAAAACAGAGGGGGAAAATTGTTAAATGTATATATATATTCATTTAATTCAAATTTGTGTTAATTCATGTCACAGAAAATCATGCCTCATATTTCCAAATGATGTATATGAGATATTTATGTTACATTGTATTGTTTATACTGTTCAATGAAATGTTTGCTTTTAATGTAATTTGAACAAATTAGAAGCCTTTTATTCAAATTTAAATATTTCCTGTAACATTTTTCCAATATTGCAGTGGAAGATAATAATATTAAAAAGAGTACTTTTTAGTGAAAACCTCTTTTTATGTTTCTTTTAAATAAAGTGTAAATAGAGTACAGTATAAAGTCCGAAATCCAGACGTCCATTATGCAGAATGATCTAAAATACGGACCTCAAAGCCACAGACTTTTTTACTTCCTTGTATGAAGTAAAAAGGAAGTATTGTAATCGCGAAAAGCTTCAGGCAGCATATTTCAACGAAAATATCCACTTTGACCGTTTTCGAATGCAATTTAACGATGTTTTTTGCGTGACATCTGTACGTAAGGACAGAATAAAAGACTCTTTTCCTCCAAAAAAACTAAAAAACTGCTTTAAAATGAATTCTGAAGAGAATTTTTCGTGGCGTCTGTACGTGAGTACGTGCGTATCTTGCATAACTCAAAAATGAGTAGCCTGAGAATGTTGAAATTTTGTATATAAGACTACTATAACATGTAGATGCCCACCTCGTATTTTGGTTTCAATTGGCCGCGCCAAACATATATAAATGTATTTATAAATATATCCACTCTGTTACCCGGCTCAGTGATCTCAGTTTCTTTACTCTTATATGTTTTAAAATTGTACATTTTTTGCTTTAAAAATGATTGAATTATGTTGTTTTTATCTTCCGGTTAAGGGTTTTATGCCTTTAGTAAATCTGTATGCAATATTTTTAGAATTATCAACAATTTTAAAATTGTTTAAGTGCCGCTAAGCCTAATTTGATGGCGGCCATTGCTCTTGTTTACATTTGAAACAGCTGAGTAACGGATTTGTTGCCAATCTAAAGAAACTTAGCTTCGCAACAACAAAGATAACGCCTTCATTTATTATTTAAATCATGCTTAATCCTTTCTGGAATTTTTTCGAGGAAATAAGCGTTTAAGATTTACTTCATAATTTTTAATACAGATATTTTGAGTTTTTATGTATTTTTGCCCTATCGCGAAGTGAAAACTGAATTAATTGAATGAGAAATACTCAATTGTCTGTGGAAAACTGTTTCTTTTTTGTTTTGTTTGCTTAATTTCTTTTATACATAGTTCTAGCTGTATTATAGTATTTGAATAGAACATGTGGCAATGATTAGATAATTCTTTAAATGATATAAATTTTGTGCATTTTGAGTTATAATATGAACGAAATGTAATACTGTTAAGTAAACCTAGCGCCAGAATGTCGCTATGGTAAAACAAAGTGAATTTTAAAGAATGATTTATTCTATTGTGGTTTATGCGCTGTCGGCGAAGTAGGTTTAATTCAATCTAATAAGTTTAAATAAAATGCAAGAAAAATGCGTATAATTTAATATTCCGTACAAGGAAGTCGTGGTGTACACATCAGATTTTTTTTTGTATGCTTTATGTATGTGCATTTTATTTTTTTCTTCCGTAATAAAACATTGGAGATTTTCACTTAAAATTCCGATTCTTAATTTCACTTATGCACTAAATAAAATACCTCGTTATGGAAAAACAATAACGTAAGCATAAATTTGCGAGATTAATAATTTGGCTCTGTAGCTGATCGTCTGCTTGGCATAGATCTCGAAACCGAAACATTCACCTATTTTATATCCCTGACCCCGACCTGGCGAATCATTATTTATTATATTTTGCTTTCAACACCACATGTTTATCAATACAGGACAGCTTCAGTAATAACTCATGCAGCAATGTCTGAACTTTTTTTATATTAGGAATTGAATAACAAGAGTATGGCAACCTTTTATGCTACATTATGCTTGGCGATGATTATAGATTTTTAAATGCTTATGTTGACAAGGAAAAATTGAACAAAAATTTCTTTTCATGTGCTAAAAATAAATTTTGTTAATGAAACTCATAGGCCAAAAATTAACATTTAGTGCTATTTTAATAAAGAATAACTGATATGTTATTCACCATAAACCCAGAAGCGGCAGCAGAATATGTCAGCACCAAACAGCAGAATTTAGGGAAGACGGAATTTGGGGAAGCACTGAGTGGCAAAATTTAAGGGATTTGAATTTTTTATGATTTAGGGAAAGCACTGAGATCCAAAGTTTAGGCACGGAGAAAATTTAGAACTTAGGAAACCGCTTTGTAGCAGAATTGAGGACCTGTAGAGACTGCACCAGGCGGTATCTAGTGTTGACTCTATATAAAGCTTTAAGTATATGTGGGAGTTAATTTATTCAAGACTCAGATTAATGTTAAGCATATGCAAGAAAAAACATAGGTATAGTAAATAATTAAACTAGACTTAATTCAGTACGCAGTAGGAGCAACACAAAATTTATCGAAACAACTTGGTTTTCATTGCCAATCTTGTGATACACACTAATAATGTATAACGGACGCTATTAAGCTAGGCTAAAATTATCTTGACTGATTTTAAGTCATTTCAGTTAATGTAGCAGATTGCGCTGCTCCCTAATCTTCTAATTTGATCCAACTTGTTATTTTTTGCAAACTGTTATTATTATGGCAATTTGATAAAAACTAAACTTGAACTTTCAATTATTCGAAAAGAGTTTCCAATTCTGGAACTGCCAAAGGATCTACAAAGCGAAACCATGTTTCGATGTCTATTAAACAAAAAGTGGAATTGCTGCAAAAAATGGATAAAGGCATATCCTTCTCAAAATTATGCGAGGAGTATGGCATTGGAAAGTTAACTGTATATGACATAAGCAAAAAGAAAAAGGAACTTTTTGATTTTTTTGTGGAAGTAATTTAAACAACTTACATTGAAAGAAATGTTTAATAAAATAATAATAAGTTTTTTTTTTTTTTTCCCTGTAAATTTTGATACCCTTTAGATCATAATTGTTCTTTATTTCATAAATTGCGATTTCATATTTTTAATTGTATAATTTCTGCAGATTACCAGACTTAAATTAAATCTGATAAGATTTAAAATGATGATATAATAACTGGAAATATCCCAAATCCAGAATCACCGAAGTCCTGACGAGTCCGGATTTTGGACTTTGTACTGTACTAATTTCTGTAGTTAATCTTTATACAATATGATTCTGTTTGATTATAAAGCTGTTTTTTTTTTTAAAAAAAATGTCTTTAAAAAAATTGGCAATTTTTGGCAATTTTTTTTTTAAAAAAAAACATTGCTGAAATTTTGAGCTCTTGGATTTAAAAGGTGTGGTGCTTGTAATTTAGTTTAATTTTTAAATGCAGATGGTTTTGAATTTCATGTATAACAAAGTTCCTTTTTAAATTGTTTGTTAAATTATATATGATTAAGCATGTATGAAACAACATTTTTCATAGGGACAATTTCTGATTTTTGATGAATGGCTGTTTTGGTGGCAGGCTTATTATTCTGGGCCAAGTGACTTTATGTAGTTTTAAACAACATAACTTATAACATTTTAAACTGATATTCATCCAGTAGCTTATAATGAAAATACTGTTAGTTTCTTTTGTATGGGTCATATTTTGGCAGCACTCTATCCCAATATTTAAAAATAAAATTCACTTGCTTTAGCATTTTTCATATTTAAAGACATTTGAAATGCTGAGTATTATATAACATTTAAATTATTGCTTTTTAATATTTATTTATATGATATAGCTATTTATTTGTATTCTTATGAGTATTTAATGCTGCAAAATGCAGATTCCTAAGGCAGCTGATGCATATATTATCATATCCATTCCATCGTGCATTTCTTTTTGCTGTATTTAGCCCAGTTTTTCCTTTGACACTTTTTCTTTTCTGATGGTAAAATTGATTTGATACAAAGTAGTGCTTCATATTTCTGCTATTTTTCTTAGAAATATGGGTATTAACATGAAAATATCATCAATGTCATCATTTAATGAATATAAAAGAAAATCTTAGCCTGTACTACCATAAATCAGGCTTTACAGTTCAAAACTACAAGGGGGGGGAACTTCAATTTCTGCATAAGCTCTTAACATGCATGCCTATGTCTTAGGCATTATTTTCTGTGGTTATTGAAAAGAATGTAGCAAGGTACAAAGAGGGTTAATGTTTACAAAAGACACTTCTAATTCCAAAACAGAATTTTTAGAATCATAATTCCTAGGGTATTATCAGGAGCAACAATATTGCTATTTTTCAGAATTTTTTGGCTGAATAAACTTTTTTGAAGTTGGCAAGGTGAATTAAAATGCTAACAGTATGAGTAATTTTAAAATTGAGTCATATAATTATTTCTACAGAAAGGGGTTTAAAATTAAATGTATTTTTTATAGAACAGTTAACTTTCTGAGTGGCATGACTTCTTTTATCTGGTCATGAGATGTATTGTCACTTGAAACATACCTCGTTTTTTAAAATACTTTTTTTTTTTTTATTTTAATGATGTAAGTATCATCTTAATGAATGGAAGCTAATAAAAACATAGTATTAGTAGTTATAAAGCTCTAATTAATAAGTGCTATTTAAATGCAGTTCTTCATCTGCAGATCCAGAAAGCCCTGCCACTCAGAAGGTTAAAAGATGTTTTATGTAATCAAAAATTATGCAGTCATTTGTTTTCAATGTAATTTAGTCATTTAAAAAATTTTTACAATATTCTGTTTCACCATTAGCTTGTTCATTTACAAAGTATGAAGTATGAGATTGTCTATAGCTTAGATAAAGATATTTGTACAGCTTAAATAAAGATGTTTATACAATGGTATGTACTTTCACTAAAATTGTTTAATAAGATTGGACATATATATTTCATTTCATGTTTGTATTTCCTGTGCTCTTTACAAAGCAAATAAATTTTTACTTTGTTTTTCAAAACCTAGTAATATTCTTTTTAACTACTATGTGTACAATAAACATTATTTGGGAATTTTTCATGCTATAATTTCATTGAAAAAGGAAAACTTACTCTGGCTATGCTTTCTCTAAAAATGTTCATGGTCATTATTAATTCAATAATATGCAACTTTAATATTTACTACACTATTAGTCATTCTTTTTATATGCTTTTGCATGAAAATCTTTTACTTGACAGTCAGTGGTAACAGGTGTTGGAATCTGTCTTGCATCTACTTTACTTGTCTTGGACTTTTGGTACGTCTCAATTTTTATGTATTATTTCTCATTTTCTTTCTTTCATTAATATTTAAAATCATATTTAAGAATAGCTCTCTATTATAAATGTGTATATGTATATTTGCAATTATTACTATGCTATAGGTGTACGACTGTATAATTTTTTAGACTGATAAAAGCATGAATTTAATTAAATGAATTTGTGAGGAATTTCTTTCAAATAGTCATATTGTATTGCAATGATGATGAGAGTTCAAAAGCTAACTAGATGCTTCATTACTATGATTTCTGCTTGGCTTGACCATTTGCATCCAGTTAGTATCATCACAACAAACAAACAAACAAAAAAGTTTCCTTACTTCTTCCCCATTTTATTATACCATTATTAGACATGAAAAAGAAGGAAAGATTTCTTAATGAAATAAGGATTTTTTAATATAATTTCTGCAATTTTAGGAACTATAAAACTATAATAAATTTCTAAAAGTGTGACTAAATACTGTTGTTAGTAAACATGGTTAGAAATAAAATAAATCTGAATTTTATCAACTTTTAATTTTAAAATGCTCCTTCTTATTGCAGAAAAAAAATTAATGAATTTTATTATTTGGAAAACACTGAAATAAAGAATCTTGTAAAAGTCAGATAAATTTCACCTTATGAAATGCTTTCAAAGTATATTTGTGTACTTTATCATCTAAAATGATACCATAGGATAACTGAACAAAGGAATTCAATATTGTTGTTCATGTTTAGCATTCATAACTTGTACTGTATTGGCATATTTTTTTATATGTATTCAAAGATTTCAAGTGCAGTATGGATCTCAGTATCTCAGATAATGAAAAATAGAATAATAGAATATAATTCTTCATTAATAGGCTTTTTATTTCTTAAAATACAAATACATTAATGTCTTACAGATTAGAAGTTATGAATAATATATGAAGTTAAATGATTAAATGTAGTGTAAAGCAGTGCTCCGCACCCGGTGTGCCATGAGTAGGATAGGTGTGCCGCAATCAAATACATGTATTTGACATTTTGCAATTTTTTATCATGTATTTAATACACAATGACAATTTTTTTCCTTAATAATGTCTATTTTAAATGTTTTTATATATTTCACTGTTGTGTGGTTGTGTGTGTGATTGTAAGTGTGTCAGCATTTGAATTTTTTCGGCACTTCCTTGATAACTCGGAACTCTTTGGTGTGCAACGAAATTCCAGAAAGATTTTTTGTGCGTCGCAGGTGAGAAAAGGTTGCGGAGCACTGGTGTAAAGGTCTTTTCTTCTGTTAAGTGAAATGTGTTTTCTTTCATTAATTTTCATTTTTTATTTTTATTATTTCGCTTACTATCATTTATTCAGTCATCACATGATCCCCTCTTTTTTTATCTAAATTTTTAAAATGCTAACCATATATTGTCTGTTTCAGAAAAGAAGGTGTTATAGATGATCTTGATTCATCAAGAGAAGTTATTGTAAATCGTTCTGCAGCACAGCATGATACACCTGTATGAAAAAAATCATTCTAAGATTTCTGTGATATTTTTATATTTACCATGTACATTTGCATTTATATCTGATTTCAGAACATATGATTGTTCATTCATATCAGTTTTATTTATTTACAGTTCATTATTTGAAAAAGGTAACAAAAATACCTTTTAAAAAGTTATTTGCATGTTAGTTAAAGAATTCTGTGAGCACATATTCACTTATTATTATTTATAAGCATTATTGTTATTTTATTTTGCAATTTTGAAAAGTTTTGTTAAAATAGTCATTACTGCATTATGTATGTATCTTTCATTTAAATATTCATTACCTCATTCAATATTTATTTTAAATATTATAGATTCTCATGTCATATATTTAGCTTTTCAGTTTAGAAATTTTCTGATTTTATTTTTTTAAATATAATCAAACATTGACTATTGGGATATATTAAAAAGTGTCTTGTTAAGTGAAATGACTTCTTAAAGCGGAGTATAAAGTAGATTAAATTTGAATTTTTGCATTAAATTAAAAATTTTCTAGAAATAAAGAAACATTTTATTAATTTGCATATAATTTTTATTTATTGTAAAATAACTGATTATTCAGTTTGGGTTATAAGACTTACTGTTTGGACATTTCCAGAAATTGAAATAGAATTGTATTTTATTTCTTTAAATGACATTTTAGTGATTCTTTCAAATTACTAGATTTTGAAATGTGAATCTTCAACCTCTTTCATTCTGCCCAAAATGTAAATGTGCAACTTTTACTACAAAATACAGTATTGAAGTATTCCTTGCTTTTTTTTTATGCTTTATATTTATAAAAAATTTAACCTTTCATAAACATTAGTGTTTATCTTTCTCTGCAACATAATTTTTTTCAGTATTTTGAATCTTTAGAAAAATATCTATATATAATCAGATCAGAGATTAAAGGGAGAATGGAAAAAATTATTCCCCCCCCCTTAGGCTCACATATTTAAACATAAGGAAAAGGTCATCTTTCTGCATTGTAAACTGGGAAATTTAAAATCTTAAATTTACTGGTTTATGATGAGAAACCTATTATAACATTTAAAATAAAGCAAAGAAAAATATGATTTCCTAGGTATTGAATATATAAGAATTCTTAGAAGAGGCAGCATTTTGAGGAAGAGAAGCAGATATCATTTATAAAATATTTTGTTTCCTAGAACTGCATATGATACTCTGGAAAGTAGGACAAATAAGGGAATTATGTTTCAACATTGTTGTGTACCTTGTCGTGAGTGTGTTTTAAATTAAATAAGTTTTTTTTTTTTTTTTTTTTTTTTTTTTTTTTTTTTTTTTTATGAGAGAAGGAACAGAGTTTTCCTATGAGTACTAGTGTGAAAAATGCTATGAAGTGAGAAAAGTTGATTTTGGAGCTTCAAAATGTAGCATGATAAGAAGGCATGTTAAAGAGATTTGTTTTTATACGTTGTAGAGTTCCTCACTCTCTTTTGTACTAAAATGAACATTGAGGAACCTAGTGAACTAATGAGCAACTTATCGCTAAGTTCAAACAACTAAAATGTAGAATCAAGAATGGTTAACCCTTTATTTCACTCAAAGAAGAATAACAGTCGGCTAATTTCTCAGGCTTACACCAAAGCCTCCACTTGGGTTTGAACTCAAAATAAGAAATAGGAACTAAAGAGAGACTTAGCCGAAGCTAATACAAGTGTCTAATGTACTTGTCCTTGAATTTAAACTAGCTGGTGAACATTAAAAGGCACGGAATATATGGCTGAGCATAACAACTTCAAGAGAGAGCCCAAAGACAAACATATGCTACTCAGGCTCCCTAGCTCTCTCTCACGAAGTTAGTTGAACCTTCCTTAAATACTACTTCTAACTCATTTGCATTCAAAGCGATTTTTAAAATGCATTTTGGTAGGGAGGGAAAGCACTTTGAAATTAAAATAAATGTTATAAAGTTAATATATACATTACAACATTTAAAATCCTTTTATATATATATATGTTACTGCAAAGTATGAAATCCGGCATTGTATATAATGCCTAAACCTAGCTGGCAGTTTTTGAAATGATTCATATTTCACACATTTCCTAGGCATTCTATAGAATGCCAAATGACAAACCACCAAAGTATATAGTACATTTTTGATTCGATTCGAAGAACCGAAACTACTTACCAGAAGTTAATAAATGATGTAAAAAGGCCAAAATGACTACTAAGAGGGAACTACGGGGCTACTGGCTGCTGAATCGCTAGTTTGTGATGTTTGTGGAAAACAAAATTGCAGTCATTTATCCTGTTGAAGAAAGCATCCGTACTATGGAATATTGCATAACAGACGCTGAGTTATCTTCCGTATTTCATAAAAACTCATTTGAGTATTGCACAGGAACGACGTGACAGAATGTCGAAAGAACTTTCAACCAATTATAAAAACTTTACACATAATGTACCTTTGTGAGCCCAGCAAAAAAAAAAAAAAAAAAAAAAGAAAAGAAAAAAAAAAAAGAAAAAAAAAAAAAAAAAAAAGCCATTAAAAAAAAAAAGCCATTAAAAAAAAAGCACTGATGTGAAACTTATGATTGTTTCTGAATTTAACTTGCTTTGACAGGTAGATCTTACCCAGTCTCAGCCAGGTAGAATATACGAATTTATTGCGCTGTATCAAGATCACCTCACTATCTTTTTTTTTTTTTAACATATTTTGAAGAACAGTTTTTTAATGACATTCTTTAATTAATTTTTCAAAATAACATTTGTATTTTAGAGGAATGAATGTCTTTTAAATAATAGCCTTACTATAATATTTTTTTTCATACTTTGCCTAAAGAGCATTTGTCATTCTATAGGATGCCTAGGTAAAGTATGTAATAATCCTCTTATTTCATACTTTGCCTAAAGTCATCTGGCATTATATACAAGGCCTAGGCATTTTATAGAATATCGATACTATACTATAGAACTATTCTATAGAATGCCGGTACTAGGAATTTCATACTTTGCCGGTAACATATACATAATCTCACATATAGTTTTTTTTTTTTTTTTTTTTTTTTTGTTATTAACAGTTATTCTTTTTTTCATTAAAATTTAATAATAAAGCCATTTTATTTTTCATATTGCATTTATTGAGGAAGAGAACAGCAAGAATATTTAGCACACATTGTATACTTGGCATTACACAACCAACAAAACGAACTAATTATTTTATGCTATGCAACTATTGATGTTTATCCCAAAACAATAATTCTTTTAAAAATAACTCTTCCTGCAAGACTATTGTAAATATTCAGTTGAAAAAATTGCAGCATAATTAATTGTACAGATCTAGCTGCATCACTTTAAAGAAAGCAATATGAAAATTATTACCAATGCATATTTTTATAATGTTTTATGTTAGTTCTATTTCATTAGAACTAAATTTTCACAATAAATCATAAATTAAGTTGGCTTATAATATATTTAATATAAATATATGACAGACAATACTATATATATGACAGACAGTATAAAATTAAATCAAGCAGCAAAATTTTGTGTCCTTAAGGTAATTGTATGATTTATTTATGAGGATATTTTTTTCTATGAAATACTTGAAAAACTTAAAATTTAAGACTAATGATTGATCTTTTCTACCTAAATTTGTTATGCTTAATATATATATATTATACTCAAAAATGTCTTTATGCTGTTGTATGCAGGGTTAAGTTTCTTCTGGAAAAACATGTTTATTCCAAGACAGTGGAATGTACTGGTAAGAAAGAGAAGAAACTTTAAAAAATGAAAGGTTTCAGATTTAAATTACGTTCAATGGGGCGTTTTTTTAACATTTTGTGTGTTACCTTTATTTATTAAATATCATGTTCTTCGCACTTAAAACCATAAATTTCAGTTCAATAGCGATGTCACAAAATAATTTTAAAATGAGCCTATCTTTAGAATTTCTGATACACAGTTCCGTGTGCTGGAGATAAAAAGGTTCCCCCCCTCCCTGTAGATTGTTTCAAATCGTTGAGTTTGGTACTAAAAAATTTGTTAAAGTTTTACAAAATATGAATTCGATAATAAAACAAATTTCAAATTTGGGCTTCCACATGCCCATATTTGCAGTAGGATTACACCATTCAAAATTCGATGGCTCTATGTACCATTGTTTTATCACAATGCAAGAAATATACATACATTTATGCAGATTTTTCATTATTTAATTTCTTCAAATATAATGCAGGACTCTAACATTTGGTGGCAACAGTTTGAAAAATGAAACGGACATTCATAGTGATTCAATGCAAAATCGCAAAACAAAAGCAATAATCCTTCAGGAACAAAGTCCCTTTGGACTAAAAGGGTTCACCCGTAAGGTTGATAAAAGGGATAAATGTATTAATAATAATTTAATTTAATTTAAAATAAATGTTTTATTATCGCAGTTTCCAGTTGGTTTTAGTCTTGCATGAATATGGTTGCCTACAAAATATAACTATTGATAGTACACAACACTGTTTTAATTATATTCTAAAAATATTAGTTTCAAAAGTGGTTTTCTTAGATAATTACCTTAAAAGGCTTCACTGTATATTAAAATTTTTAAACACAGAATAAAAATGTAGAATATAAAACAGCTGAATTTTATTTTACTCCAAAAAATAATATAGATTGCATTTCTAAAATACATTACGATTTTTTGTACATTTCTTAATTCTTGAAACGGCAAAATTTCAGTGGCTTGTGATAATCAGTAATTTGTAGCATTTTATGTTTATTAACCCATTATTTTTTAAATTTTATCTTTACTATCGTTTCTGCGTTTATCGACTTCCACAGGTTGCAAATTAATTAATGTATGTAAGAACAGAGTTCTTTAAATTAGGAAAGTTTTCAGCAGTGACTGTTCACCTCTGAATAGTTTCATTCAGCTTTTCCTGACACAGCTTTAGCCTCTTGCTGGCCATGTTTGCTTATATGATTAAAAGGCCTGGGCCAAAGCTTATAACATGATTTTGCCATGTAACTGTATAGTTTAGGTGTTTAAAATTTATATTTACTTTTATATTGTGTTAAATATTGCAACAAGTGGTGAATTTGTTAATTACCTTAGTCGTGTAAGTTGTTAAACTGAAGTTATAATAAAAATGTATATTTTAAACTTTCTCCTGAGTTCAGAATTATTTTCATTCTAAAGACCTGATAAGTCTTTTGGAACTGTTACAGACAACCTGTGCAACAATTAAAATCTTCAATGTCTAAAGTTTTAGCACTTGTGTTTTCTTTCGATTAAATTAGAAGTTCACTTAACCTGTGGGAAAGCAGGGGGTGTATTATATCCCAACCCTACATAAAAGTGGAATATTCCTAACTTGTGAAACTGAAATTCTGTGCTGCTTTCAATAGCTGAGTTTCTAGTTGTGGTTGACTTTCAGAACTGCATTTTCTTTGCGTGTGTGTTTCAGAAAAAGATTTATCCGTATTTTGTTGGAATTGGGGCATGACACCCCACGCACCTATCCGCGTGTTTTCCTGACTGAATATTTAGTTCAGAAATTTATTTCTAGAGTGTAACAGTAAATATTTCTACTCGCAAGTGATTTTAAAGTACTTGACATTAAATTCTTAAAAATTTCTAAGTGCATTATGGTAGAAAGAATGACTATAAATTGGAGATGCAACACCTGTGAGATTTATTAGAAATATTATTAGAAAGCGATGAAGATTGCATTTCAGAAACTGAAAATGGAACTAGGAATATTTTCTACACTGTTTTGGTTTCGAAAAAGAAAAAACATTAATTCCTGATGTTCCTAAAAAAGGTAAAACTGTTCTTATGCTTTCAACACTATATAACGATCATACTATAGATGATACTATTGAAGAAAAGTCAGAAATTATATGTTTTTGTAATATGACTAAAAGAGCAGTGGATATGGGGGATGAAATGTCAGCCAATTATTCAATTGCCAGAATAACAAGGAGGTGGCCAATGGTAATTTTCTTTCCTGCACTGAATGTTGCTGTAATAAATACTTGAATTATATTACATTCAACTGCTAATCCACCAACCAGAAACAGAAGTCTGTTTTTGAAGGACTTAGCATTACAATTAATGAAAAAAAGGGTTGGAACAAAGATTAATACATTATCAAGAAACTGACATACTGCATGAAAAACAAAAGCAGAAGTTTGAACGAAGAATTAAAACAAATGCATGAAATTCGAAACAACTAAGTATGAAAGATGTGATAAATGTTTTGCCCTCGCGCCAAGGACAGAAGAATGTGAATGCAATGTTTAGAATGTGAAAACATTCTGTGCCAAGAACACATGAATGTATTTCGTTCAAAGTGTGAAAAAATAAAATAAGCATTGTGTATTAGAGATGCAATGAAACTTAGAGGCATGGTGTTTATTTTTTTATTATTTTCATTTATCTTAATTTTAACTCTAAGATTATTTTGGAAATTAATTTTTTGAAACCCAATTATTACTCACGTATTTATAATACACGAGAACAGGAAAAACAGCTTTAAAACTAAATAAAACTATTTTTGTCGTATTTTAAATATTGGGGTATGTGATACCCCACATGCCCACTCTAGTAACTTTTCTTGGTGCAACTTCTGCCGGGTTAAAGATATGCTGCGCCCCCCCCCCCCAAAGAAGGGGGACAGTTCTATATCTCTCGTTTTACTGGACCGATTGACAAAATTCAAATTGCGTTTTTCATGTCTTAAAAGCGCGACTTGGGATATATATTAGATTTATATATAGCATTGTTCTAACATAGGTATTTTGACACAAAATTGGACTCTTTCTGAAATAACATACCAATGTTTTCCCATATTTTGATTCTACAACTCAAATTATGCCTAGATATTAAATTTTGTAAAATTTGGTGCAAAATTTACGGAGAAATTCAAAAATTAATTTGGCACAATTTTTTCACTTTGTGCCA